TATTAGTCGACAATTCCCAATGGGCGTCTGCTGAAAGTCCTTTGGAGTTGTTGACTAATTTTTGGGATTCATAGTTCCAAGCCCCTATATATAATAATAGGAAGGATAGAAGGTAATCAAATTTTATGGAAGGACCAATTTTGAGTTAATCATCTCAAAAAATTGGCCCTCGATCTTTTTCCTCAAATCATAGTGAATCAATTGGAGGCATCTTCAGGCAAACTTTTTATATATTTACTACTCAATGAGCCTGCACAAACAAATAGGCCACTCCTATTGGTTCCTTAGATATTAATAGATGTAACAACAAAAAGCACACATTTTCCAGGTAAATGAAGGCTTGATGAATAAAATGAAGCGAAATTTGGACAAGCCATCACACCATGTTGCCTAATCTTATCTAATTTTTACACTATGCAATAAGGATGGATGGATGAAATATTTTTTATTTTTTATCCTCTGATAACTTCTCTGTACATGTATTTATGAGGCTGCTGTTGGAAAATGGATGGCAAAAATAGGAGGGAAGTGCACAATCCAAAAAATGAATCTTGAAGATGCCTTGCTTTTGAGACACAATCATTGCTGACGTCTGACTCTGGACCAGGCAATGACTATAGGTGGTTCCCTGATTGGCACTTCATGTGTCTCACTTGGGTGGGCTGTTTCCCTCAAGTACCGGCCATCACCCCCATTTTGCAGTAGGTAGTCTATGGGATGATTTACCTGATTGATAACGTAAACATGATTTGGTGAGGGACCCTTGCCAACTGTCAAACCCGAAAGGGGGAAATTGATACCACCACCCTCGTTAGTCTTTCGCAGATCACAACTTTTTGATTGTCCCCAAGATTGTCTTTCTACTTCAATATCTCTGTGCATGTGATCTGATTCATCCCATTGTTCCTCTGCAATTCGAACTGGTTGCGGTATAAACTCAGCCATGATATTGTTCAAGCAGCTGAAAATTGCGGTTAGGATTGAAATTCTGCTGATCTTCATTTTTCTGATGTGACTACATGAGATCACAGGAGAAAACAAATCATGGTGATATCAGTTTTAAATTGAACCTAACTCAAGAAGTGTGGGGATGAGTTGGTAAAAATCTAGCTTTAGTGAATGAGATCTATTGAAGGCTCACAGTGGTGGTATGAAGGTTTATGAGGTGATTATTTTCCAGCACAGTTATCCCCAAGATTGCTCTTTGTTCTGGGAACCAGAATAAGGATTGGTGTGCAATTTTTTTGTTATAATGTCACAGGGTTCAGAACTGGGTCAAAAGATTAGACTGTGGCCAATGCACCAAATACTCACTTAAAAAACTGGTTGAGTCAATCTGACTGAAAGCACGGAGACAGGGCTAGAATTTTAAACCAAAAGTGCTAGAAAAGTATCAATCTGCAATGAGCATAGAGTGGTTAATTCATTTATACAGACCACATTAACTAACAATCCAAGGATTTTATCAAAATACTTCTTGCAAAACCGGGTATTATGGCTGAGAGGAACTGGCAGTTGATTTTGACTGTCAGCACAGACAGTGGCTAGAGTAGAATACTAAACCAAAATTGCAAGGAATGTTTCAATCTGAAATTAGCATAGAGTGGTGATGGTTTTTATTTATAGACCAGATGACTTGACAATACAATGAGTTCCTCAAAATACTTCTTGCAAAACAAAGTAACATGGTCACAGAGAACTGACAGCTGATCCAGCACAGCTCAACATCAAACATCAAAAAATGGGTAAATACTTGACCCCCAATATCATTCAACCAGAATTGGTGTGCAAGAGGTAGAGCCTAGAGGCAAACCCAATATGTAACATTGCTCTTTGATCATGTGCAGCAGATCCCTGTATTAAATTTAAAGTAAGCTGTGATTTGTGACAAGTTAGGGATAACTAAATTTTTCATTTTGGAAGGACCAATCTCAAGTATTGAGTTAGCATGGGAAAGATGCACAGTTGGGTATGAACCATGGTAAAAATTGAATGGCTGAATAGCTGCCAAAAGAAGTTGGTTTCCAATATACTATTCCAACCAAACCATTGTCATTTCAGATAAGCTACAGGCAAAACATGTTAAGAAACATGTTCAAAAAGGCCACTGATTTGAATACTATTCCTTATCACAGAGACTGTGCATTGCTGCTGTCATGAAACAG